TTATTAAAGGCCTGATGCACGAAATTTGTGCGCAGGGCAAGGGGAGGGGGGTGTTCCTCAGTGCAGCCTGCATCCTCTTCAATCTGGGATCCCTTTCATAATCCAGGACTGCTGGCTCGCAACTGCTCACCTGCCTGCCTTCTTGATTGCCCCTGACCACTTCTGCCTGCCAGTCTGATCACCACTCCCATGCCAGTCTGATTGATGTCTAACTGCTCCCCTGCCAGCCTGTTTGCCCCCAACTTCCTTTCTCTGCCAGCCTGGTCACCCCTAACTGCCCTCCCCTGCAGATCACCTCCAACTGCCCTTTCTTGCAGGCCTGGTCCCTTTCAACTGCCCTCACTTGCAGGCCTCGTGCCTCCCAACTGCCCTCCCCTTCTGGCCATCTTGTGGTGGCCATCTTGTGTCCACATGTGGGCACCCATCTTTGACCACATGGGGGCAGTTATTGTGTGTTGGAGTGATGGTCAATCTGCATATTACTCCTTTATTAGATAGGGTTAGGTAAATTTAGATTTCGAAGGACCAGGCCATTCATATGCAAAAGCCTCTGTGCATAGCTTGGATGGGGCAGAGTCTCAAGGCAGAGCAAACAGCAATGGCTTCCCGTCAGCCCTGCCCTAAGAGGCCCCTGCTTCTCAGTGTCCTGCAGTAATTGCTGCAAGCACCTCTGAAAGAAAGCCACCCTCAAGTTTTGCCCACTGTCGGACAGTCCAGTTTCTCCCTGTATGAGTCTGGGTGCCCAGAGTCTTGCCCGGAACTGGAGTTCAGAGCAATTGGGAGCTTTTGTCTCCCTCCTGCTTTAGACAGCTGCGTACTCAGTTGCCATCCTTTTCTGCACACGTGCCTCCATGTCGCTGCACTTTTTTTCTGTAGCTCTTCTGAATCTCAGTGTGCTTTTCTTTTCCCTTCTAGTTGTAGAATTTCCACTCAGCCAGTCTTCCTGTGGTTCTGTATGATGTCCGTTTTGTCTTTTAGTTGAAGTTTTAAAGTGGTTGTGGGAGGCAGCAAGATCAGGTGTTTACCTATGCCACCATTTTGGTGTCTCCTATTCTACCTTTTAAAGCTTAATTTGAAATCTTTCCTCTTCCTTAAATTTTCACTTTCAATATTTGAACCTTCCTCATATTTTACTTGGAGTATTGTATTAACCCCCTAAGTGATCTCCCTGCTTTTCATCTCCTCCACAAATCAGCATCTAATGGTGAATAATATTACCTTTCTAAATCACAGGCCAAATCATATACTTTAATGCTTGAAAACCTTTGAACTAACCATCTCCCCCACCCATTATCTAATAATGAGTCAAATCTGAGCTCTTTTATGTGGCATACAAGACTTTAGTTACTTTTTGTGTCCAGTATTCCCACACTTCAGCCCACCTTTTAGCCCTTATCCAGCCATCTAGTCTTAAAATCATGTTTCATATATATTTGAATCATTCAGACTTTGTGGGTATCCTCTTAAATGTTCTTCCTACATCTAAGATCTAGTGACTTAACTCTCATGAAAATTTCATCAATAAAATGTTCAAATATATGTATCCATAATAATTTGCTCATCATACTCTTATTACAATATTTTGTTTACATATCTGGGCCGTGAACTCTTTGAGGACATGGATCTTAATTTATCTTGTGTTGTGTGTTGTTGTTTTTTTTTGCCTACTTTAGTACCTAGCACACATTAGGTCTTCTTGTCTATATTTTGTCACAGTCTTTATTTCCCTGTTAGTTTTAATACTTATTGACAGGGTGTTACTTCAAAACTTACTTCAATTGATTATGTCATATGATTCAGAAGAGAGGCTCTAGAATCAAACTGCTCCATCTTTTTCCAGCTGTGGGGTCTTGGACAAAGTACTTAACCTCACTGAGCTTCTATTTTTATATCTGAAAAATAAGGATAATAAGAATACATTATTGTGAGGATCAAAATGCATGTGAAGCACTTAATATAATGCCTGGCACAGTATGCTTGCCTAATATGCATGTTTTCTTAGCAATTATTATTTCTATTAATTTTTTTCATTCACAAATATGGGTTGAGCATTTCACTATTTGCCAGATATGGTGGAAGGTATCAGAACAAATAGCTGTGGTCCCTGTACTCGTGGAGTGATACCTTAGTTTGTACTAATTATTACAAAAGTTATTTTAACAATGGCTCCATGGCTGGGTTGCTCAGTTGTTTAGAGTGTCATCCTGATATGCCAAGGTTGTGGGTTCAATTCCCGGTCAAGGCACATATAAGAATCAACCAATGAATACATAAATAATTGGCAGGCACAACAAATTGATGTCTCTCTTGCAGATCAATTTAAAAAAATACACAAACTACACAATTGCTTTAAGTAGTGGGGAAATTGTTATTCCAATTAAATTGTAGTTTTGCCCTGGCTGATTTGGCTCAGTGGATAGAACATCAGCCTGATCTAATGAGCATATTATGCTGAAGGGTCTCGAGTTCAATTCCAGTCAAGAGCACATACTTAAGCTCTAGCCAGTTTGGGTCAGTGGATAAGAGCATCGACTGTGGACTGAAGGGTCCCAAGTTTGATTCTGTTCAAGTGCACATGTCCAGATTGCAGGCTTGACCCCTAGTAGGGGGCATACAGAAGGCAGCCAATCAATGATTCTCTCTCATCATTGATGTTTCTATCCCTCTCTCACCCTATCTGAAATCAATAAAAAATATATTTTTTAAAAAGCTCATACCTTGGTTGCAGGCTCAATTCCCAAGCAGAAGGCAACCAAAGTGTTTCTCTCTCTCTCCCCCTCCCTTCCACTCTCTCTAAAAATCAATGGAAAAAATATCCTTGGGTAAGGATTAACATAAATTGTTGTTTCTTTATGCTTCCAAAAATTTGTACATATTTATTGAACTAACTCTATTGAGTAGTTTCATTAATTGCACTTATAGGAAATAGAGTAGTAGTACATTATGGTACAAAGTATGAGATAAGAACTCATCAAACTCTTACCTAAAGCAATAAAGATGTATCAGTGAATCCTAGAAAATTTTCTACTGACTTTGTTTTTTGATTGCTCAGTAAGGGTGTACAGTTTATATGTTGTACTTTTTTCTTTTTAAAAGTAGTGTGGTTTTCTTTTTTTATTATATTTTATTGATTTTTTTTTTACAGAGAGGAAAGGAGAGGGATAGAGAATCAGAAACATCGATGAGAGAGAAACATCGATCAGCTGCCTCCTGCACACCCCCCACTGGGGATATGCCCGCAACCCAGGTACATGCCCTTGACCGGAATCGAACCGGGACCTTTCAGTCCACAGGCTGATGCTCTATCCACTGAGCCAAACCAGTTTCAGCAGTAGTGTGGTTTTAGTATCAAAAGATAAATAGTATTTTGGTATAACTTTATTATAAAGATATTTTAAAAAGAGAGTTCCAAGAGGAATTATATCTGGTATAGCCTTTTGTTTTTAGGTGGTCGAAATGTTTTTGTAATTGCATTTATTTTACATATATATATATTGATTTCAGAAAGGAAGGGAAAGGGAGAGAGAAATATCAATGATGATAGTGAATCATTGATTGGCTGCCCCTTGAATGCCCCCTGCTAGGGATCAAACCTGAAACCTCCATTGTCTGTGACCTTTTGGTTTATAGGTTGATGCCCAGCCACTGAACCACACTGGCCAGGCTAGAGACATTTCATTTAAATGTTACATGATAGGAAGGTAGAATCTTGTAGAATCTATAATAATAAAAGTATAATATGCTCATTAGATCAGACAGCCGAACGACCTTCCGGACATCTTTCCAGACAAACCTGAGATGGCAGGGGCTGAGGCAGAGGCAGTTGGGGCGATCAGACAGGCAGGCGAGCAGTTAGGGGCAATCAGGCAGGCAGACAGGTAAGTGGTTAGGAGCCAGCGGTTCTGGTTTGCAAGAGGGATGTTCAATAGCAGTCAGACATTCCCCAAGGGGTCCCGGATTGTGAGAGGGTGCAATGGTAATATATGTACACAGATAATAATCTAATAAAAAAATAAAATACATTTAAAGTGTTGAACAAATATTGTACCCATTGTGAATTATTTTTCCCATTGCACCTATTTTTTTTTTTCAATGAAGCACAAAGAATGAGAGAACAATATGATAACCCAGATGCCAAAGAGAAGTGTGCAATTATTAACTAAAAATGTCTGGATTGTATTTATATTTTAAGTCAGTCAGTGGACAAACTTTTTTGACTGTTAATATATAGTTCCCATTTGTCTACCAAATCTTGCCCTTCTATTTGTCTTTGACTTCCTCAAGCTTCTTTAAAGGTTGTCTCATATTCCATTTACTCTTGAACCCATTGCAGACTGGCTCCTACCCCTTCTACTCATTAGTGACCGCCTAATTTTTTATGTTAATTAGCATTCTGAGCCCTTTTATAGCTCTTGTTTTGTCATCAGCCACTTCTACCTTAAAATTCTCTTCTCTTTTGGTTTCTGTGATAACCCTTTCTCATCATTTCCTCTATCTTTCAGGCTATTACTCTGTTTCTTTCATGGACAATTTTATTTTTTGATTATACAGGCAATCCTTGGGTTATGTCAAACTCGACATACGTTGTTTTGTGATTATGTTACCATCTCCCATTTATTTTTTAAAAAGTTCCATCATTTTGAGGTACTGTACTTTAAAGTTGATGCTGAAGTCATTTCAGAAAATAATAATAATAATAATAATAATAATAATAACTTCTTAATTCTTTCCTTCTTAAATAAATTATCATCCATTTGTTCCCTCATTCATTCTTTATTAATTTGTTCAATAAATATTTATTTGAATATATAGGAGCACTGTAGGATTTGGGGGGAGGTGTGTAGAACATTTGAATAATACAAATTATCCTTTAAGGTTTTTAACATAGGTCCTTTATATTCAATCATAAAATTCTATTAAAAAATTATTAATTTTTAGAAGGTAAACTATAATATAAGCTTTCCATTGTTTTTTTTTTTTTTTTTTCTTTTTCCCTTCAGGGAAAGACCATGTTTGTAGATTTATCGGCTGTGGGAGGAACGATCGCTTCAATTATGTGGCCATGCAATTGCAGGTAGGTTGTCTTGAAAATATATCTTAAAATCTTTCAGTTCTGATCAAAGTACCTAATTATAGTGGAAAATAATAATAATAACAACAATAAAATTCTTGGTATCATATCAGACTGTTTATATTATTCAGATGAAAATTTGTTTAAACACACCTGATACAGATATTTCCAAAGATGGAAGGGTTGTCTCAGTTATTTTAGTTGATTCTTATCTTCACTGATTATTATCATTGCAGTTTTCAGTCCTTACATGGATTGCTGGATGTAATGTGAGTCTTGCCCAGTCCCTATCCCTTCCCTTTCTACCCTTTGTTGCCTTAAGGATCTAGTTTTCCATTTATGTGTTCAAGTACCAACCTGACCTGCTTAAAAATTAAAGCACTAGTTGAAATAGAAGAGAAATACTAGTCCTCTTTCTCTTTTCATCTTTTAACATTGCTTTCTCTGTTCCCTGTCCTTCAAATGAAAAGTGAGTTGGATTGGGGCAGCAGAGAGAAATTCAGAAGGGGAATATTGGAATAATGACTGCAGCAGGGAGAAGAGGGACCCATCCCCTTCTCTCTGACGCTACCTCTGTCCCGAAAACGCACACCTCTGAACTGTAGTCACCCTCAATGGGTTAAAGCTTGGTTCTACATTGCTGCCTAAGTAAGAGATAGCAAGGTTTTCTTTTATCTGTGACAAAATCTGTTTCGGGCATTTGGTTCTTTTCTTTCAACTTAACTATATAGAGGTGATTTCAGAAACATAGGTTCTGGCCTTAAGTGTTTCCTCTTCTCAGAAGGCTTTTCTTGTTTCCATTAGCTATCTTTTAGCATTTGAGTTAGATGTAAAGATATTAATCTTTCTGTAGACTTAAAGTTTTTAAGTCATATGTTTCACTATCTCGAGCCAGCACAAGTTTATAAATTCTTTAGTTAATCTCTTCCCACCCACTCACTAACCTCACCTTCCCTCTCAGATTCAACAGTCTCTTCCTTACTTTTATGTCACTGGATCTATTTTGTTCATCAGTTGATTTTGTTCATTAGAGTCCACATATGAGTGAGATCGTGTGATACTTGTCTTTCTCTTATTGGCTTATTTCAGTTAGCATCATACGCTCCATGTCCCTTTGTGCTGTTGCAAAGGGTAAGAGCTCCTTCTTTGTTACTGCTGCATAGTATTGCATAGTGTAAGTGTACCACAGCTTATTTATCCATTCATTTACTGATGGGCACTTGGTCTGTTTCTAGAACTTAGATATTGTAATAACACTGCAATGAACATAGATGTGTATACATTCTTTATGAATGGTATTTCAGATTTCTTAGGATATATTTGTAGAAGGGGGGTCACTGGGTCAAAAATTCTTTAAAAGAGTACTCCATCAGCTATTAAGTTATCTTGAGGAAGGACAACATTTCTTATAGGAAGGACAGGACTAATACTTGATTCTTTTATTTACCAGTATTCAGAATAGTTGGTTGGCTCCCTAATATTTTCCAAAGGGGACTAACTAGCCCTCTCTTTTATTTTTTTATTTATTTTTTTTATTTTTAAAATATATTTTATTGATTTTTTTTACAGAGAGGAAGAGAGAGGGATAAAGAGAAACATCGATGAGAGAGATACATCAATCAGCTGCCTCTTGCACATCCCCTAAGATTGGGATTTATATGAAAATAATGCATTGTATGTGTGTGGGGAAGGGAGAGGAGGGTATGTGTTGCTGGGAGTAGTAGATAACAGATGAGGGTTAGTTATATTACTTTCTCTCCCTTTAAGTATGTTTCAAGTTCTTAATAATTAATTATATTTATATTTTTATTAGGACCATATTAAATTTATAGAATTAGTTAGGAATAAATGAATTTACTTTTTTATTCAATAATATTTATTCTATGGGGAGAGAAACATAATGAAGTAATAATAATAATAATAATAATAATAATAATAATAATATACTCCATATTACTGTGTATAAAGGTTTTTATATGGCTGCATATTAGTCAGTGAGATGATTACCATGATTTATTTAATCTTTCATTTATTGATGGATATATAGGTTGTTTTCAATTTGTCTTCATAACAAATAACCACTTGTATATACTCTGAAGTTCAGGTTTACATTTGTTCATATGGAAAATGATACAATAATTAATAAATAATAATATAAATTTTTTTTCACATACTCATAACTGTAAACCTTTTTATTCACCCTTCATAATTTACTGGCTCAAATCTGCATGTATTTACCATGTTAATAACTCTTTCCTTATATGCCACACTTGTACTTATCTTTTTAGATTCTGTTATTTGATGCCTCAGGTATACATTTAAAAGTATTTAAACCCAACCTACGTGGCTCAGTGGCTGAATGTCTGAGGTCACAGTCTGATTCCTGTCAAAGCACATGCCCCGGCTGTGGGCTCAATTCCCAGTAGGAGATGTGCAGGAGGCAGCTGGTCAATGATTGTCATCATTGATGTTTCTGTCACTCTCTCTCTCTCCCTATCCCTTCCTCTCTGAAATCAATAAAAATATCCTTAAAAAAAAGTATAAATTTTTTTAAATAAAAGGAATTAAAATAATTACTGATATAAGTTTAATTTAATTGATTTCCTTTTTTAAAAGACATGTTTTTACTGATTTTTTTTTATTAGAGAGAGAGGAAGGGAGAGGGATAGAGAGATGGGAATTGAACCATGACCTCCTGGTTCATAGGTTGACGCTCAACCACTGAGCCATGCTCGCCAGGCTAATTGATTTCCTTTCAAAAGCTTTTATGGTGGTGGAAATTGTTTATAAATGAAGTTTAGTATTAGATATATTTTTGGCAATGAAAATACTGATTTTTGAAGAAAAATATATTGGAATGCTAATAAAGGTTAATAGGTATTCTCATGGGATTATAAAAGTTGTTCTACATTATCACTTATTTTACATTTGCTGAGGATATACAAAACAACAAATTCTCTTAACATTAAAAAAAAAAAAAAAAGGTAACTACCAATTTGTGCTGTGGGAAAAATGCATTTTTAAAGAAGATATGCAGTATGAAAGGTTCCTGACATTCTGGTAAATTTTTAGTTCTTAGTTTACTTGAGTACTATTTAATATTTTATTTCAAATAGGTACTTAAATAACTTAAGATTTTATTACTTTTTCAAAAATGAACCAACTATCTTTAGTTGAGGTGATGGTATTAGTGGTATTAATCCTAAACATATACTACAAAATTTTGGGAATAGGGAGATTGGAATATTTAAATTTCCTTGAGATATAGGGGCCAGTTTCCATTCTATGGGAAGTAGAACTGCAGCATTGTAACCCATTCATCTCATCAGATTTGGTTGTTACTTAGGCTATAAGGAACCTTCTGGTGAAATAGTACTGTGAAGTGGAAAAAGAACACTTTGGAATCTGGCAGACTTAGATTTGAAAGACAACTTTACCTAAACAGTTTAACATTATTTAAACTCTGAGTCTCAGTTTCCACATCTGTGAAACAGAAATGGCAACTTCAATTCAGGGTGCTGTGAGAATTAAATGAAATCTTTAATGTAACATATCTGTCACAGGTTAGATACATTCATTGCTTTTATATATTGCTAGAAGTAATTGAGTATTTCATAGAATTTTTGTTCACAATAACAATTATTAGCATATATTCAATACCTACTGTTTGCCTGACAGTATTTTAAATACTTTTTTAATCCTCACAAAACATTGGCCCCATTTTGTATGGAAACTGTCATAAAAATTAATTGGCTTATATGGAAATGTATGTTAGGCAGCAATAAAGGAATTAATTAATTATATATATATTTACATATATATAATCTTTTAAAATAAGCAAGGCTATATTTTGTTATGACATCAGAAACAAAGGGAATTATGAGTTAGAAACATACTATGTTAAAAAACTGGTTATTCTTAAATTTGTCTGAAATGTTAATGTATTACCCTATCAGAATCTTCTCTTGAGTGAAAGAATCATGATTTGGGTAAAATTCTTGCTAGTTCACTCAAAACATTTTTAATGATAAATGGATAATTCCCCATCTTTTCTTATACCATAATTTTCATACCATATTTGAAAGTGTTTATTTGGTTTCCATAGGGTCGGAATCTGGCAGATCTACGCCGTAGCCAGTCCCGGGGCACATTCACTATTAGCACCACTCTTCGGCTGGGTAAACAGATTCTGGAGTCTATTGAGAGCATCCATTCTGTGGGATTCTTGCACCGAGACATCAAACCGGTAGGGGACTGTTTCCAGCCAGAGAACAGAATGAGTTTGCTCAGTACTCTTATCTTAAAATGGGACACAATAACTTACAAGTGTAGTTTTCTATATTAAATGCAAGATAATATTTTAATTTCTGTAACAGAAATGTAATTGGAAGCAAAATATAACTTGCCTTTTCATTAAAAAAAAAAAAAAGGTAATTACACACTACAACTTATATTCAAGAGCTTTTCTCCTACAATGAAAATGTGTTCAACAGCCAAATTAAAAATGACTAATGCTTGGCTATTATTATTATTATGTATGTTAGCATTGCCATATTACTTAGCTTTATACTTAAATTGATAATTATTCTTTGGATTTCTTTTTTCTAGTATTGGTTACAAATATTTACAAAAGTTGTTTTTTGATATTGTCATTTTTAAACTATTTTTAATTTTTATTTTTTGAGTTATGGTTGGAAAGAATTCAGGGCAAAGAATTATGATAGATCCTCCCTTCCCCCAACTGATGGACGGAGTATGATGTAAACTGTACATGCAGCCTGGACATTCCTGAGCACCTAACCAGGCACCATATATGGACTGTACATTGAACGACCAATCAACACCTGCTAAATATCCTAAGCCCCTAATTTCTAAGTCCCTAAGTGCCTTATCATGTGTTTTATATGAAATCACTAATCAGTGAGTACCAAGTACTCTAAGCCCCATCCCTTCCCTTTCCTCCCCTCAAAAGGCGCCTTCACTCCTGCACATATGCTCTCTCCCTTTGGAAGGCAGCCCGGCAGGGGTCCTTCTCCTCTAATAAAGCCTGTAGTCCTGGTTTTCAGCCCCTTTGTCTCATCTTTCAAGTTAAATTATACGAGAGTTTATTTAAAAAGACACAGAGATAAAATAAGTGAGTGATAGAAGAAATGGGCTCAGGAACCAAGTTACAGAAGCGAAAAGAAGGAGTTTTCTTTTGGGGAAGGGGAAGGCACAGGCATGCTCCCGAGAGGGAGAACACCTGAACTACTTTTAAGTAATAAATTATACTTATAAGAAACTATTTAGCCCTAGCCAGGTTGACTCGGTGGCTAGACCGTTGGCCTGCCAGACTGATAGGTCCTGGGTTTGATTCCAGTTGAGGGCACATTGCCCAGGTTGCGGACTTGATCTCTAGAAGAGATCGTGCAGGAGGCAGCTGGTCAATGATTCTTTCTCATCATTGATGTTTCTCTCTCTCTCTCCCTCTCCCTTTCTCACTTATCAATAAAAATATAAAAAAAGAAACCATCAATTTTGAAATATTACCTTTTTCTTCTGAGTATTACAATGGCAATATATACTACTTTTTTCCTATTGTTTTTCTTAGATTCTATCATTTCCATAACTGAAATATATTTTTTTATTTTTCCTTCTCATTTATCTGTTTATCTTTACTTTTTAAGATATATTTTAATTGATTTCAGAGAGGAAGGGAGAGGAAAAGAGAAATAGAAACATCAATGATAAGAGAGAATCATTGATTGGCTGCCTCCTAAACATCCCCAATCAGAGATCTAACTGCAACCCAGGCATATACCCTTGACCAGAATTGAACCCGGGACACTTCAGTTCAGAAGGCCGATGTTCTTTTTTTTTTTTTTTTTTTTTTTTTTTTTTTAATATGTTTTATTAAGTTTCCACAGAGAGGAAGGGAGAGGGATAGAGAGCTAGAAACATTGACGAGAGAGAAACATCGACCAGCTGCCTCTTGCACACCCCCTACTGGGGATGTGCCCACAACCAATGTACATGCCCTTGACCGGAATCGAACCTGGGACCTTTCAGGCCCCAGACAGACACTCTTTCCACTGAGCCAAACCGGTTTCGGCACAAGGCCGATGTTCTATCCACTGAGCCGAACCAGCTAGGGCCTTCTCATTTTTTATTTTATTTTTTTATTGCTTACAAAGAGAATGACCGATTTTGGAAATACTGTGTTTACTAGAAATTTTTCATTTTTGGTGCAGTTGAAAATTACACCATCTGTTGCTACTTGATTTCTAAAATTAGTTTACATGAAAATGGCAACTAAAAGTAACATGATTGAATCAGACTTAATGAAATGTAGGTTTCTTTGGCTCTTATTTCTATGCCTAACTAAATGTCATTATTTGAGAACTGGTGATGAAGAGCTTCCATTTTTATCCGAAAGTTCCCTAAGAAGAACAATGTTTTAAAATAAAAGCTAACAATTCTGTGACAATTTGACTTTTGCTTTTATAAATTCTCTTGTTTACATATCCATCTTTGCAAGTTTGTAGTCATTTAATGTTATATTTATTTTTACTCATGGAAGAATATAAAGTATATTTTCCTTAAGTCTGTTTTGAAATGTTTCCTTAAATTGCATCTTAATTTTTACATTTAGCAAAATTAAGCTTTAGGATATTCATTTATATTTCTGAGCTATGTGTTTGATTTTACCCACTTCTAGTTCTTTCCATTTAAAAAAACTAAATGGGTTTTCATTTAGGCAATGGCTTAGAGGAAGTTAGAGTTCTGATTTCAGTTAAGTTACTGTTGTGTTATATACAATTTTATACGGTTGCTTAAATCTTTGTTGCTCAAAGTTCACCTGATCATAGGCATTAATAGAACCCACAAGGAAATTTACAGTAAAAATAATTGACTAGAATAGTGTATTTGAGACATGCGTGCTGTATAGAATTTAAGCAGAAGAATTAAAATATAGAAAGGATAATATATAAGGAATAATTATAAGAATATGTATATTTTCCTTCTTTATTTTTCTAGTCGAACTTCGCCATGGGTCGCTTTCCTAGTACATGTAGGAAGTGTTTCATGCTTGATTTTGGCTTGGCTCGACAGTTTACTAATTCCTGTGGTGACGTCAGACCAGTAAGATTTTTCATGTTATTAAAAATTTGAGACTTAACCTATTTCTTATTATATCACTCTATTTAAAGAAATGCTAATTATGTATCAGAATGGATGTGATTTAAGAAGTAGCATACATATTTATGATTAAGTCATAGAAATTAGTTAATTATTCCACTATTGAAAGTTGTAGATTTTTAAAAAATACATTAGACACAGATTTAGAGTTGTCTTGTATTAAGAACACAAATTAGCCCTTTAGGATCAGTGGTCTTTTTTTGCAATCCAAAGCTCGCTCTACTTACTACAGTTCTAATATTTCACAAAAGGTAAGATTTTCTTCTATTTTAAAGCAAAGTAGTATTCCAGACTTCGCAACCTCAGAGGTAAGGTGGGGGAAAGTGGGAGGGAAGAAATCAAAGAACTTGTATGCATATATGCATAACCCATGGACTCAGATAATAGTTTGGCGAAGGCTGGGGTCAGGTGGTGAGGGCAGGCTAAAAGGGATCAATGGTGGGGAAAGGGGACATACGGTATGTAATATTTTCAACAATAAAGATTTAACTTTAAGAAATTATGAGAGAGAATCATCGGTTGGCTGCCTTCTGCGTACCCCCCATTGAGGATTGAACCCAATACCCGGGCATGTGCCCTGACCAGGAATCGAACAGTGACCTCCTGGTTCATAGGTTGATGCTCAATCACTGAACCATGCCACTTGGGCTGCTTCCAAATCTTGGCTATTGTAGATAACGCTGCAGTGAACATAAGGGTGCATACATTCTTTCGTATTGTTTTGTGATTCTTTGGATGTATTCCCAGAAGTGGAATTACTAGGTCATGAGGCAATTCCATTTTTAATTTTTTGAGGAAACTTCATACTGTTTTCCACAGTGTCTGCACCAGTCTGTATTCCCACCAGCAGTGCATGAGGGTTCCATTTTCTCTATGTCCTTGCTTGTTGATGTTTGATTTATTGATGATAGCCATTCTGACTGGTATAAAGTGGTATCTCATGTGATTTTAATTTGAGATCAGAGTTTGATACTTGTTCTGACCTCAAGTGTGCTCCTGTCATCTGTCTGATTCTTCTTGTTCTCCCCTGGAAAGCTTATAGTCCAGGCTGTTTTGTCATTAGATCCACCAATCTCTCCCAGTTTCCTTTGCTACAACCTCCACTATTTTTGAAAGGTGTCTTGGGTTTAAACTTAACTGTTGCATATGAAACCATTTCCTTTAGGAAGAAATTAAGAGTTATCTCTTTTTCATGGACATAGACAACAGTGTAGTGATTGTGGTGAGAAGGAGTGGGTAGATGTGGAAGAGGGCATAAATGGTGATGGGAAAAATAAATACAATAAAGAAGAATTATCTCTTTTTCGCCTTCTGCCCCTAGGCAAAATCTCTTAAAATCTCTGGATTTGAGGGTAAGGATTGTGGCTAGTTGTTCTCTAAGTGACTGATTCACGTTAGGAGCTGAGTCCTTTGGTTCAGTTGGAGGTAGCAGTCTGAAGTCCCTCAGCAAGGAATCACTGCCTCGTGAGCCAAGAGAAGGGCAGTTGGGGTCCCATTATTCTCTGCACACCGCATTCAAGGTAGACCCTCTGTTCTGGAAGGGAAGGCTACCACAGTTGCCCGGGATTTAGCCTGCTCAGCAACAGACAGCTGAGAGAACATGAGAAATACTCAAGTCCTGCCTCTGTATGGGAAGTGGGGAAGGAGGGAACCCTGTGTTCTTCGGTGCAGCATTCTGGAGTAGAGCCACCCTCACTGATCTCGAAGAGAAAAGGGAGGGATCAGTTTTGGTTCAGCATCATAGACTTCTCGCCTTTCTTATTGAAGAATTTCATAGGTTTTCCTAGACAGATATTTCTTCATTTGTTATTTGCCCTAAGGACCATTTCCAGAGGCTTTAGTAGTTGTTGTTTGTTTTTTAAACATTTTTATTTTAGAGAGGAAGAGAGAGAGAAAGAGAGAAACATCAGTGAGGAGAGAGAATCATTGATCAGCTGCCTCCTGCACGCCCCCCCTCCTGGGGATTGAGCCCACAACCCTGGCATGTGCCCTGGACCAGAATCGAACCTGGGACCCTTCAGTCCAAAGGCCAATGCTCTATCCACTGAGCCAAACTGGCCAGGGCTTTAGTTGTGCTTTAAAGTAATTTTCACCAGTTTTACTGGGCAGTGGAGCTCCTCATGTTATCATACTGGTGTCGTTCTTATACTTGCGTCTTCCTTTTACTTTAGTTTTGCTTTAACTTGCTACACATTGTGACTCTCATTCCGAGTAAATTGGTTGCACAGAAAATGAAATACTGGTCTTGAATGAATTAACTATATAATAATAGTTGTATACAGAAATGTAAATTATATTTAAAATAAGGGCACATGAGCCCTAACTGGTTTGGCTCAGTGGATAGAGCGTCGGCCTGTGGACTGAAGGGTCCCAGGTTCGATTCTGGTCAAGGGCATGCATCTTGGTTGCAGGCACATCCCCAATAGGGACTGTGCAGGAGGCAGCTGATTGATGTTTCTCTCTCATCGATGTTTCTGACTCTCTGTCTCTTTCCCTTCCTCTCTGTAATTATGAATCTTTTTTATTCTGGTGAAGGTCTTGCATATTAATAGTGAAATGTGAGGTGTGGGGAGTGGATCTTCCCCTTGCAGGTTCTTGCCTCAGGATATTTGAAGAATAAAATTCACTAAAAGGACTTGTTCGTAAAAGGGTGGAAATTTATTAGAAGCAAATACAGACTCCAACGTAGGGCGGGGCTCCCAAGGGGGATAACCCACTCAGCTCCTTTTTTCTGTGGTTCTTCAGTGCTGTGGTTCTTGTCTCTTCATGCTCCCTTCTAATTGGACCCCTCCCCATTTTACGACCCTGTGCTTTTCTAATTGGTCTCCTTTGCAGAATATCAGCTTCAAAGTTTAAAACCCACTGTGGTGCTTCCTCTTTTTCTCTCCCCCTATCTTGCAACATTCCTTTATCTCCTATGAACATGTTTTCCTCTTTCTAGCATCTGTGGACATTTCTCTATCCTCTGTGAAAGTATGTATCCTTTTTCCCATACTTGGTGACTTTTCTTTATCCTCTGTGAATGTCTTCCTCCCTCTCCCCTTATCCTGCCACACTTTTCATTCTTTGTGACTGTATGCCTTCTGGCACCTCCAAGCCCTCATGTATTCCTCCCCTAGGGGCCCTCTTTATTCCTAAACTACATAAACCTGCCTGTTTTGTCCCTAGAATTTCTTTCAGTTGGTGGGAAGGTAGTGTTACTGTTACAAAGTCCGTGTGCACTATGCTTCAAAAGGCCATGGCTCAAAACATCTTAGTTTAGAGTAAGGAAAGGTTTATTGATCAAGAAGGTTCCTACTGAGAAGATGGGAAACCTAGTGGTTTTTCAGTTTCATCTTAAGAAAGTACAGAGTTCAAGCTTCTTTTATGTCAAGGGAAGGAAATATGAGAGGGGCATATTGAGGTGATTGACCACTGCAGACATTTGGGTGCCAGCAGTAGTCTGAGGAAGATCAATGCTACTTGATATGAGTCTGATCACAAGGTTCTTAAAAATCTTTGATAAACAATACATACTTCCCTATCTCCTCAAGCCACAAGCAGAATTCCTCTAATGATTAGCATGTCTATATGCAAGTCTGAGCAGAAGCTATTATCCCAAAGGACATGGAGTCAGAGAGACTGAGCATTTCATTATTACAGTAAGTGATGAATTTAGTATTTATTTAACTTATTAGATTTGAATGTTATTCTGGAATCTTCTTTCTATTTCAGGTATCTTTTAATTTTTAGAATATTATCAGGTTATTTTTATTCTCTCATTAACATATTTAATGAGCACATATTATATGTAAGGCATGGATGTAGGTGCTGAGACTACAGCCATGAATAAGCAAACCAAAATAAGGCTCTTATAGATTTATATTTTAGTGAAGACAAATAATAATACACAAATAAATACATAATTTTAGGTAGTGATAAATGCAAAGAAGAAACACAAAGCATGGTACTGACATAGAGGGAGTGATGGGCAGTGAGGACAAAAGACTATTTTACAGGTGTTAGTTAGAAAAACCTCATCAGGAGATATTGAGTTGAGAGTTTGAAGTAAGAGTAAGCCATGTAAATATCTGCTAAGAAAGTATTCAGGAAAGAATCGGTACTTTTTTGAAACACCGCGGGATGCGGGACAAATTGTTAAAAATCCGGACTGTACCACTAAAAGCGGGACGGCTGGTCGCCTTAGGCAAAGGGAACAATGAGTGAGAGTAAAGGTACTGAGGCAGAGTCAATTTGGTGTATTCAAGAAAAAGTACCTAGGAACATATCCTAAGAAACTAGAAACACCAATCAAAAAGGATATATGTACCCCTATGTTTATAGCAGCACAATTTACAATAGCTAGGATTTGGAAACAGCCTAGGTGCTCATCAGCAGATGATTGGATCAAATGGTACATTTACACAATGGAATACTATGCTACCATAAAAAATTCTTATCATTTGCAGCGACCTGGATGGAATTAGAGAACATTATGCTGAGTGAAATAAGCCAGTCAATGAAAGAAAATCATCACATGATCTCACTCATTTATGGATGATGAGGAACGTTATAAACTGATGAACAAGGGGATAGATACAGAGACAGTAAAAGAAACAGAATGTCAAATTACAGCAGGGAAAGTAGGGAGATATGGGGGAGATAAGAGATCAACCGAGGGACTTAGATACAAGCATATAAGCCTAACCAATGGACGAAAAACTCTGGGGAGGGAGGGCATGTATGGGAGTGGGGCTGGGGTGGGAATTGGTAAGGTATGCACACATATAATACCTTAATAAAAAAAAAAAGGGGGGGGGGGAGCCACTGTGGCTATACAGAGCTTAGCATAGCATCGTAAGGGATAAGTGGAGAAAGATGAGGTTTAAAAAGTTGGAAGGCTCCCCAGACTGTGTATGATTTTGCAGAGAGAGATTTTATTCTAAGTGATGGAAGCCTTTGGA